TCATTAATGAATAAATGCAAAATCACTTCACAACAATGAAAGTACATTTAATGATTCATCCAAACTTTTCAATACGATGGTTAACCTTTGCATACAAAAGTTCTTCTACTTAAATAACCTGAAAGAATGATATCTCACACCAGGCCAGGTCAACCACTAGGAAATAATCAGAGGCCAGTATTTGCTTCATGTAATGTAATGATCAGGATAAACTGCTACCAGAAGATATTTATCAACGACACTTCTTTATTGAGATTATGAATGCTTTCGTGTAGCGTTCCCATCTGCATCAGCAAATCGCCTTTGATTAGTTCCGACGCTCTGCGATTACCAGGAGCCACAATAAGTTAGTTTATAGTATCGCCAACCGGACCAATAAACCCGATTAATATTAACTCGGGATTCCAGTAAATGCAAGCCTCCCCGCGATGCTTCTTCCGCATCTGCATCGTGGAAGCCTGTTGGACCTCCGCATGAAGAACTCGCCCATTTGGCATCTATTTAAAGTGTAATCCTCCAACGACCGTGTCGTAAATTCTGCGAGTATAAGACTTAATTTGTTCCACAAAGCCAAAGGGATTTCGGCAGGGCCGACCTTAAACCAAAGACACGTCTACACGTTATATTTCTGGTGTCACGTAGCTTCGCTTTAGTCTGGCTACACAATCTAACACGTCCCGCATGCCCGATTCCTGCTTCAACACTTTCACACATAAAAATTACCTTTATATTACCACTATCCACCCGTATATACCTTTCTGTAAAAACGTTAAACTAAATCATTTCGATACAGCTATTAGCAATAGATTGCAGGTCAGGTCCTCGGCACCACGCATCCAGAAGTCGGGTTACTTCTCACTAACCAGGACTACTTAGGAATGAGTACATAGAATCATGTGTGCTGAAAGGAAGACCGACACATGATAAGGTTTATTACCGCAAAAAGTGAGTTGAAGTGGTATCTGATTAAGTAATCAAGTCCTATCAATGGAAGATATCGGCTTTAAACTTATATTGTCAAGACAAGAAGTTAGGAATGAACTGAACGGTACACTTTAACTCCTAAAATAGTTCATCGGAATCTCAAAATATAAACAGCATAGCCACAAAAATAGGAAAGTAATTCAGGGAACGCAATTAATATAACGAAATATTCACACTTCAGATGATTAAAAAGACTTGCTTATTTTCCCAAAATGCGCACTGCCCCTAGCTGAATAGGACAGTGAGTATAAGATTGATTGGGCTCCGGTTTTGAATGCCAATAAGTGCCGATAATATTTAAAAAAGCTCGAAACCACAGATAATCATGGACAATTAAACATTTATAAAGTGGAACGGAGGCAGGAATTGATCTGTGAGGTCATAAATATTCCTCGATTTTTCGTTTGTGAAAGAGATACCATGTCTATAAATGTCAAACTAGAATTCTGAATCGACGCAAATTTAAAAGGGAAATACCTCGAGACCTACTATAAAAAAAAGCAATCCACAGATTGTAAAATAGAGATCATTTCAGAGCTTAACACAATATGACAATAGATAACAAACTGCAAATAGCAGTCATGGAATGGAATAAAGCAGATGTTACCTTTAAGCTTATTGCATTTTTTTTCTCCGGCCTATTCAATGTAATTATTCGGACTCCATTGTGGCGCGTTGATGTCACCAGCTCACCTAGATCATCCGAATGTGTAGGAGCAAGACTGGATTTCTCATTTTTCTTTACCGGAACGGCCAAAGATTCAACAAGTCTGACGTACTCCTCCGATGCTGAATTCTACTATCCATTTGAATATATTAATAATTAAATTGCCGTAAGAGAATCCATACCGCAAATTAAAAGTATATTACATAGCTCAACATTCAATTAGCACCAAGTCATTTATTGATTATAGGAACCAACAATTTCTCCAAACTAATTATGTCAATTTCAGCAACTTAATGAAATCTCAATCAGTTTTTGTGCCGAGATAAGCACCCCTAAGCTACAAGTCAAGATAAAATCCCACAAGACATACATAATGAATACCAAGCTATTAATGGTAATTAGCAATTAAAAAAACAATAACATATAGAGTACAAGGCTATAAGTACTTAATATCTCGTTAGCATACCTTGCTCATATCTTTGAGTTGGCTCCATGCTTCCCATTTAGCCCTTCCTACAAAATCTATTAAACTCGGTTTTTGATTGTCATTTCGCCCAATTGTTGCCTGATTCTCATAAGCAAAATATGACATACCTGTTTAAATAGAGCATACAGTTTGAGCTTAGTTTCATTACTAGGTTCAACCGTGAGCTTGTTTACGTATTCTTTGGCCTCATCAAAAGAAGCGAACTTAGCGGAATAGTACCTAAAGTAGATAAAAATTACGGGTATAACTTACCTCGAAA